TGAGTGTGTTCTTACCGGTGTTCGACGTGACGCCGCCGCCGGAAGAAACCGTGTTTGCACCTGCGACGACGTTGACGCTGGGGGTACTGACAGTGCAGCAGGTGGGGCTATTCGCGAGGACAGTAGCGCCAGCTTGGCTCGGAACTGCGCCTCTTTGGGGACTGCTCGAGCGACCTCTGTCTGGCGATCCGCCTCTCGATTTGCTCCTCCACTCCAATTCTCGTTCCCACCTGAGCTCCTCCCGACGCTCTCCTGCAACCTTTCGAAACTACAACATTACGATCCCGATTAGAAAACAATGCTTGGGACACCGCCACATGTAGGGGGCAAGGTTATCGTAAGTGGTGCGTCTATCGATCAGAGAGACGCCTGGAGCTTCGTAGAGACACACGGGAGACACGCAAAGCAGACACAACATGTAAGGGGGAGGCTGCTGCACGGTTTGAGTCATCTGCAGGTCCAGGCATTTTCAGAGGACGAAGAGAGTCGGGAGCATGCCTGTCAAATACCGGTAGCGGTTGGATAAGTTATATCGATTATTCGAAGAAATTGTTCAGGTAGTCAAGGCGATCAAAGAGCTCGATAACGAGCACAATAACAGAGGAACATTCAGGCAGCAAAGCGGGGAACTAAAGGGCGAACGAGAATTATATATGAGGAAGCGGACCTTTTCAAGTTCCTTTAGGCTGGCTGGCGACACGTCCGAATGGCGTCTGAGCTCGGGACTCCTGGGTGGCGCAAGTCCACTTCCCGGGCTGCTCGTTTGATTTCCACTTTGGCAGCCTAGTCGAGCGTCACTGTGTCGTCTCTGCAATGCTTCCAAGACAGGAACCTCCAACAACGAATCCGTCGACTCTTGAGTGACCACTGGTTGTCCCCTCGAGGCCATTTTTCGGCGACACACGCTGCATCTCCACGTGGACTGTACACCGTAATTAGAATTGATGACGCGTGCACATTTATTAAAATCTGCAAACCTCATGTCTCACACGTTCTCGTCGCTCTCCTTGCCGTTTAATGCCATGCATGCAGTTACGCTCCATTCTGATTTGCCTCGACATTTTTTTCAGACGTAAGAGAAAATGTCGAAGAGAAAATAAAGGATTTTGCAAAAAGTCCCTACCGAGTCTTCGGTGTCGGTGCTTGTGGAGTAGGAGGCACAGTCTTCGCAGACTTTATGTTGGCACTCGTAACAGGTTCTCGAAAAGTCCGTAGGTTTGAACGATTTGAGGCAGACTCTGCAGGCACCTGCCCTGCTGGCTGGTCTGCCCGGTTCAGCTTTCCTAAAGGCCCATTTACCCTTTAAGAGACTAGTTTAAAGCATCATCAATTCATTTATCCGGACTCTATTGAATTTATGTGCACGATGCGGGTCGTCGGTTTGATGTTCTCGAAGTAGCCAATAGAACATTACACTATACATACAGAGACATGAGTCTGACCCGATGTGCGCGCGAGTGTGCTCCGATGCATTATGCTGTATCCAAAATAATGTAAAATGTGCAGAGATAATATAATATTGTAATGTATTATACATATACATTGAAGATATTGAATTTTCGGCACCGTCCACTGCCTCTGACAATAGTACGAAATAATGCGTACTGGTTTATGCACACGAGGGGTAATATCGTACAAGTACGGATAAGTCGCCTAGTGGGAGAGACTTACGGTTTTGCAGGATCCGAGGGACGCGAGGACGGGGTCGAGGACGGCGTTACGGACCCCTGACCCGTTTGGTTCTCATCGGCGGGCGGCGTCACCTTCGCCGGACTGAGTTTCGTCACTAAAAAAAAAAAAAAAAAGCAGGAGACATTACAGCAAGTCATGCGACAATTTTCACACGATATGGGGCCCTAAAAATATCAACAGCCTATATCTATATGTATTTGTATTAAGTATATTACATATATTGTGTGCTTAACAGATATCCTCGGATTGACATCTTTTAATGTCTCCCCGTTCGTCTGCTTCTTTGTGATTCTGCGCTATTCGCTACTAAGAATATCGCCATTAAATATATGTTCGTGCAGATAAGAAAATTGTCTTATATCGGCAGGCACGCGTGACGCTTGTACGACGCTTGTACGACGCTTGTACGTCAGTGAAGAACCGGAGAAGATTCGTGAGCTAGGAGGCAGAACGCAACTGGGCATTTCGACAGACCGCATGGATGGAGAGCGCGCAATTGTTCAAGCAATAAGTTTAGTTGCTGTGCTAGTCGATTGATGAAATTGCGGTAGCGAGAGATTTTCGAAAGAGAGCCTCGGGAGGGGGGGGGGGGGGGCTTT